AAAAACTTAAAAGTTCAAATGCAAAAAGGCAAGACATTCGAAGAAAATCCTCGATCGTAGAAAGTAGATTATATATTTTTCTCAAGGGTAGATAAACAACAACAAACTTAATACATGGCTTTTGTATATTACCTCGAACAACAGCTGATAGATAAAACTTTATTCAGTAGCGATTTTCTTCCGGAAAATCGAGACTGTCATTGTTCAAAACGATGCAAGTCTTCTTTCTTCAATAAAAATGCCTGGGAAGATGGCTGATAACTGTCACAAATTTAAAACACGTAATACCAGCAAATTCAGTCTAATTGGTCCTTTTTGTGGACAATACAATAGAGAAAGAGAAGATCTGAAGTGGAAAAGGGCTCACGATTTCCCTCTTTAATCTCCATAGTCGAKTTCATATAGTCGATGTTTCTGCATTGACATCAAAGCGAAAATGAGTAGATCACGTGACTTTTCAGTGTGATAATATAGTTGGTCGAGGCGCGCAAAGCATGCTAGTGAAACATCCTCCTTTGTTACAAGGCTATATAGGGGGGATTCCTTCTCTTAGTTCATTTTCTCTTGATATAACTCTTTATTTATACCCCATTTATTAACTACAATTGTAAGATGTGTATCCACACAGACAATAGCATCATACCATATTCAGCCTTTTTCCACCTTTTCAACCCAAGGATTTTCACATTTTATCCAAATATAAAATCATAAAATGACTTTAATAGAGAGAAAATTAACTAAGAGAAATAATCGCTAGTATTCGTGCTTGTAACTATCATAGCGCGCTCTACGCTATATGCTTACGATTTTTTATTTCTTTATTTATTAAGCTTCGCCATTTAAACACTCGCACATACATACACACACACACTTTATATATAAATATATACATACATAATCGCTGGGAGTCCACTACAGCATGTGCCAATTACAGTGGTCCCAATATATCAATATCAGTCGATGGGTGACCTTTAAATTTGCAAAGTTCCTCTTCTGTATTTGGCAAAACTATACTTCACATTAATAATATAACTGCACCAGCTCTAAAACCTCTTCATAAATTCCTTACAAAAAGTAAAGCATCCATATGGAAAAAGGCTTTAATAAAACAGTAAATGACTTACCTCCAATAGCATCGATCTCATCAAAGAACACAATACAAGCTTTCTTTGTTCTTGCCATCTCAAAGAGTTCTCTGACCATTCTTGCACCTTCTCCAACATATTTTTGTACTAGCTCTGACCCAATAACCCTGATAAAGCAGGCATCAGTTCTGTTGGCTACAGCTCTGGCACAAAGGGTCTTACCTGTACCAGGTGGCCCAAACAGCAGGACTCCTTTTGGAGGTTCTATACCAAGATTCACAAATCTTTCCGGCTAAAAGACAAAAATGTATTAATTCTAACTGCTGATTAAAGAATTTCTAATTTTCCACAGAAAGCCCGTGAAATTTTGTTAGTAATGTATACATGTAGTTTTTGTTAGCAGTTGTTTTCCTTTGTTTCTTTTTAAGTAGTTTTCACTTATATTTGTTGTTGTGATGAAAAAGAATTAACAAACATGATAAGGATAAAATGAAAGATTTATGCACTTTTCCTTTTTGTTCATGCAATTCAGCATCTTATAATACACTCAACAAAATTACTCGATTCTGATTGGACAAGAGGAGTACAATTAAATCCCAAATTGTACTCTGTAGAGTTCCAATTAAGTTGCTCAACTTTGTTGAGTGTATTATAAACAAAAAATCGCACAATCTTCTCATACAATTCTGAATTTATAGATGCTTGTGATGTATCGCCTAAAGGCTCGTCCAATTTCGAAAACTTTCAAAAAATCACTCGTACCTATAAATTCCGAATTTTCGAGATTATGCGATTTCCTACACAAAAACATGTGATTCGTAAAGAAAATCGCACTATCTGGAGTACGATTCGGAATTGACGAGGCTTTTATACAATTTGAGAACTTTGCTGTTGTAGCATTTTCATTGGGTGGACACTTGTATTGCCTTTTGTGAAAAGAGTATACATACATGCAATAGAGGAGTTTCTACCACTTCTCTCAGTTTTTCAATCTGTTCTTTACATCCGCCAATATCAGAATAAGTTACATCTGGCTTTTCTTCAACCTTTGACAAAGAAAGCAAAAAACATTAATAAATTCAGTAAAAAATATTATCAAACTCATGAATAATTAATGAGGAAAACAAAACAGAAATCACGACCGTGAAGAATGTTGTAAATCTGATACAAAACTGTGTTCATTAGCATAAACTTTAAGTTGGATTTTCTTGGCCAAATTCACTTTAATTTTGAAAATTTTAGTGAAACACAAAGGAAGTAACCTAGTTTGATAAGTCATATACAGTATTCGTGCCTGTGTTGTATCAGATATACAATCACTTGGCTACGCCTCGTGGTTGTATATCTGATACAACAAGGTCACTCATACTGTATATATTACATAACCTGAGAAATACTAAAGCGTTTACAGGTCAAGTGTGCTCACTGTTATATAATTTTAAGCTTGAATATAGAGTTTCATGTATGATTGGTTGAGGGACAAGTGATTATGATACAATATTCACTGGTCATGAAAGCAAAGCACCAAAGCAAAATCAATAATCACGATTTTTTAGTCCTGAACTTTGTCTTTTCTCTGATATTTAAATAATTTATATTACCTGCATCATAGTAACAGTTGGATCAATCTTTGGGGGGAGTGGAATATGTATCTGATATTTGTTACGATCAACACTGAAAAACAAAAATTGTATATTCCTTCTTGAATATATAATTATATTAATAGCAAATATTTATAAAAATGCTTCCAAATAAAGGTAATCAAAACTAAAAACAAGCCAAAATATTAAAAATCTTGATCCCTGATGGGTGGTGTAACAAAAAAGCTACATTCTGTACACATATTTCAAGTAATATTTCAAACACGCGAGAGAGTTCTTCCTCCGATTTCCAAACACCGAAAAGTGAGTTGAAAAAATGAGGCGCAGCCGAGTTTTTTTTACTGACTTTGAGGTGTTTGGAAATCGGAGGAAGAACTCTCTCAAGTGTTTGATATTACTTCTCAAACTCATGAATATTTCTTGGAGAAAATCAAAGAAAAAGTGTACGAAATTTAATGCAAATTAAGAACACATTTCCGAACCACCGTCACAGTAGTGATTTGCTTTGTTTTCTCCTCATTAAATATTTATGAGCTTCTCCTGTCTTTTAGACGTCAAAAGATTTTCTGCTTCCAAATAATACAATACTTTTAGTCTGTCCAACTTGTTCAAAATTGCAATTAAATTAAATATTAGTGGGTGATAACTGTCACCATAGGAGTCAACTGTGCAAATTCAAATTCAAATTGAAAGTTGTTGACCGAAAACGTCTTTGAGGTTTGACATATTTTTGAAGTGGATCAAAAAATATCTTTCACAATCTTGTGATGTCATGTTCCATTGCTCAAGACAAATTAAGCACCACAGCTCATAAATACTGGAGGCTCATAAAATGATCCACAAAAAACCATCCTGACAATGGCAACCTCAGATCACAATTTTTAGCCAACATCTAATAGCACAGAAAGGCCAGCATGCAAGAGCATAGAAATAAGAGCTACAAGTACACAAATTATTATGGCAGAGACAAATTACTGACTCACCCTACTCTCATGCCTTCTTCAATATCAGTTGGTGCTACTTGGTCACCAAGGTCTACCACAAACTTTGCAAACTGCTTAACATTAATTATGTACTTAGCATCATCTGAATCAGCATTTATTATCTTTGTACATCTAGCAACCTGTTAAATTTAAAAAACACATGAAATTAAAACAGAAAATGATATCTTTTAGTGCCCCTAACTCCTAATGCAATATTTTTGGTATTGATTCTACATGAAGTGAATAGTTGAATGGTGAAATACAGTAAAACCCTATGAGTAAGAACCTGAAAATTAAGAGCCTGTTAGCCTCAAATTTGTCATTTATACCCCCTTTAAACAAGAACCTATTTATCCTAGAAAATGAAAAACAGGTTCTTATTTTCAAAAATCATCATTTAGTGATGCAGAGCTGGGTAAGAATCCTGTTTGGAAAAAAGGAGCTTGCCATTGCTGTGCAGATAAATCAATTAATGTAATAAAAACGTGAAATACAGTAAAAACCCGCGAGTAAGAACCTGAAAATTAAGAGCCTGTTAGCCTCAAATTTGTCATTTATACCCCCTTTAAACAAGAACCTATTTATCCTAGAAAATGAAAAACAGGTTCTTATTTTCAAAAATCATCATTTAGTGATGCAGAGCTGGGTTAGAATCCTGTTTGGAAAAAAGGAGCTTGCCATTGCTGTGCAGATAAATCAATTAATGTAATAAAAACGTAAAGTGAAGGAAGGTTGATATTAATTGTATTGCATTATGAAAAAAACTGTACAAGGTGTTGTTGATGGGGGAGGGGTGGGGGAGGGGTGGGGGAGGGGTGGGGTTGATTGAAAAATAGGCTAATTACCATTTTATCTTGTAGCTGGATTTTATTTGTTTTTATACAGAAATAAGAGCCTATTTAAGAACCTAGATAGCCTAAAATTGTGTTAACTACCATTTAAACAAGAACCTGTTTAGGTTAACTCTAAAATATGTGGGTTCTTACTTGCGGGTTTTTACCGTATTTTAATTCATATGGTTTAAATAAAGCATCTTGGAGATATTTAACCCATTGACCACTAAAAAGGCCAAATCAGGCCATTACAAAATCTGCTGATTTTCCTGAGCTGGCCAAAATGGGCCGAAAATTATCATTATTTTTAATCAGCCGGTGTCTACCCAAGAAAATACCCTTTGTAACCCATTGTTCAGTTGTCATACTTGAGGTATTATTCAATCAAAATCCAGAAACTTCACATAAATGAGTTTGAGCTTAATTTTTGGTCAACTTTCTGAATAGCTCTAGGAACCCAGGCAGAATAATGAGATTGGACCTTAGTAGTCAAAGGGTTAACAATTATTATTCGCTGAAGGCAAAGTGAATATCAATGAATGCTTACTAAGCAGCAAGCCTTTGAGAGGTAAATATTCACCAAATTCACTGATCCTGATGTGAATAAACCAATGTGAATTATCCAACATAAAACTTCAGCTCAGAAATAAGATCAGATCCTGGCAATGTGAGTGCCCAAGAGGAGAATACAAGTGTAGCCACGCGGCTACACTTTTCATCTTTTCATCCATGGCATTCACAACCTTAGTCGCACAGATGTTGAATGCTCTTGGTGAAAGAAAAAGGCAGTCAACACCAGCCCGCAGTCGGTCGTTGAGATGTTTCCACCAGGCAAAGAATATGTTTCTCTAAGAAGAAAACCACACAAGGAGGACAGGGAAAGTTTATACTCACAACTTCATGGCTATGGTAAATTTATAGGCATCTGTTGGATACTAAATCCTGAACTTGGAAGAATTTCTGGAGATCCAAGGGCAGCAGCAACAGATGGCATTTGTACAAGAAAAAGTGCAAATGTCAGACGAAATAATAAAAGAAGTTGCAAACTGCACCCATGGTCAGAGGGGCAACCCTGTGTGGCACCTTGTTCGTAAGGGACGTCTAACTGCAAGTAACTTTGGGTGTGTCCTCAATGCAAAATGGGCAACACCATCCCTGATCAAAAGGCTATTAGGAGAGTATGATGTCTCACGATTGAAGGCTGTTCTCTGGGGTGTCAATAACGAAGGTGAGGAAACTGGGGTCTGGCTGGACAAGACAGGGGTACTTGGTGCCTCTCCTGATGGAATGGTGGGCAAAAACCATGTGCTGGAGGTGAAATGTCCATACACCCAGAGAGAGTGTACGATAGGAGAAGCTGTAACCAATGACAGTTTTTGTTTGCGAGAGAGTGAGGATGGGAAGCATGAGCTCAAGACTAACCACATCTACTGGAATCAAGTACAGGGAGAGAAGTTCTTAACAAAGAGGGAATTCTGCTATTTTGTGGTTTGGACAAGGAAAGAAACTGCAATACTGACTATCAAGAGGGAACAATCTTGGTTGAACAATATTGATATTCTCTTAGTTTTTTATTTTCTTCCATTTTCACTAAAATCTTATAGGGAGAACTTTAGGACTTGACATGAAAACCATGAAATTGAATAAATTGAAATAAATGGAGGAAAACAATTTTAACTTGAGCTCCTCATGTTTACTTATTTATTTCTCAGTTTTCACAACTCCACTCTTATTGCATTAATATACAGCTTTAGTATAAATCTATGTAAATAAGATCCTGACTGTTTCAAACTGAACAACATATATTTTTTCACATGTGTTTCATCATGTAAATATTCTAAGTTTAATTATGTTCAGCTAATCTGAAAACATGTAGCTAGAAACATGATTTTCAATAAAAAATATCTTAAGTCATTATTAAATTAAATATTTTACTCAAATTTATAGTTTGTGCAGCCTTCCTTAATTAATGGAAACTGAAGGTATTCTAGTGCTGCACAAAGTTGAAATCTGAATAGCATCTAAGATATGGAGGAATAAAAGTAAATATCTTAAAATCCTTGAGCCTGGCATTTGCTCGTTTAACATAGATCCTACATCTTGCGATTGACTTAGTAACTTTGATTTCACTTTCTGTAAATTTACCATGTTCTAAAAATGGTGGTATATTAACATAGATCCCCTTTGGCACTATATCCTGAATTAAAAAACCTTTAATTGCCAGAATTAAGTCACATGTTTGCAAGTGTTGAATTAGACCTGATTGCTGCACAATCTCCTGGGATGGACCCAGGGTAACAATTACTTACAAAAGTTATGACTCCATTGGGGGCGACACCTACTAAAACTTTGAAAGAGTTCATCCCCCTATAACTCAAATAGGTCAAACTTTTGTTGGCTCATTAACCCTAATCAATGACAATTCTACAACTGATAAATTGTGAAAATGAAGAAGGTGCACTCAATTTGTTTTTCTCTCTAGAGGGGATGGTTGTCATTATGTCTTTGAAAAGCAGCTCATAGAGAACATGGATAAATGTTATAACAATGTTAGAAATAGTGCTATGACGCCAAGAAAAAAGATAGGCTAAATGAAGGTTGGTATAGTTTTGACGTAATTTCATTTAAGGTCAAAAAGATCTGGTCTTCAAAACTTATTGAATCAGCTTTCCATTTTAGAAAAATATACAATAGAATCCTTGAATCTAGCAGCATAATCAACTACAAACTTCTTTTGTTGGTAAGCCTGTTTCCATCCTAATGACCTCTGCACTTAGGTTTGACACAGAGTAGTGTGTGCTTTTATATTTTTAAGTCTCTTTTGACCATTTCTAATACTTCACACATTTCTGATGCACTGTTGTTGCTCTGCTGCTCTTTATATTCCTCAACGATCTTTTCGATGTTCAACTGGTTCTCTTTTAATGGGTTACTTTTGCTCTTCTTTCTCTTTGGAGCTCCGTCTTGGCAGGGAAATAGCTTATGTCAACATTTCTTTCAAAAATTTCAGGGCTGAACTCTTTTGACCATCTCTAAAATGGCAGCTACACACAAGTGAATGTGGGCCTGGTTCTCTGTCTCGTCTTCTGTTTAAATGGAAAAAAATCGTAAACTTTTTTAAAACTGATACATACGACATTTTAGGAAATGAAATCTTGACGAGGAAAAATGTGTATGTGCTAAATATCAAGCGTAAGGCAATCTACAAGGCAATGTGATCAAACAAGCTAGCATTCTGTAAACAAGTGCTATTGGTGAATATATCATAAGCTTTTTCATACCTGATCAAACAAATCCATCGTTTGTGCTCTACCAAGTTTCTCTTCTTGCTTGGAAAAGTAAAAAAGGTGCAGGTATGTGATGCTGAATGATGTTTGCAATCTGGGACGAAGCAGTAAACCCATCTTGAAAAGACACGATCGGAGAGCGACTAGAAGTCCCTCCAATTAACTCTTTTAAGCACTTTAAAACTTGACAAAATGTCAAATTTTCTTAACTTAGATACATGTAGAACAATTAGCCCTTCTTTGACGAATTTGTATAAACCAATTAAAGTAAGACGTTCAAAAAACAGAGATATTATCGTAAATCCAAGAAAAATAGACCTCTGAACCGTATCTATCACGCTTCAACACAGTTTGTTTGGAGCGCAAAATTCTGTCGCCCTGGCTACATGACGTCACACTTGAGTACTCTATTGCCCTTTAACCTCTTGAAAGCTAAGATGGAATTATTCATTTTAGCCTCTCCATAAAGAGGAGTGATTGTAGGAATCCAGAATTACTCTTGCGGCAGGTTTTTGCAAAACAACACTGATTGCAAAAAAGACAATAATATAAAGAAACTCTCAAAAGAAATGTAAGTTTTTGCCAATTTAACTGTCAGTGCTCTCAGAATATTCACTAACTACTCTGCTAGTTTTATCACAATGCTAGAAGACTTACATTTTGACGACAACAACCCAAAATACATTTCGATAAGATCATAGAATTTGCAATCAGGTCAACTTATCATATATTCTATTGTAGAAAAAAACTTGGAACAATCCAGATTTGATGAAACACTAGCATAAATCTCGTATAAGTATGTAATACATGTAGACAGAAACAGCATTAATCTTTAGTAGTTCCTGTATTAGAATGGCTTCAATATCCATGTGTCATGTATGCGATTCAAGTAGCCAATTGTAAATTACCTATAATAAGTGCCTGATATTCAGGTTACAGGATTACACCATTTACCTGTAAAGGCTGTTCACCATGTAGAGTTTGTTTATCCGCAGCCAAGTCCCACAAAGCAGGAGGCGCAAGACCTGTATCAGACTCTTTTATGCCTGAAAATATAGAAATTTTAGATCAGGTCAGGATTGCCTAATAGAAGGTAACAGTAAAACTCATCATTCAAATCATATTTACATGTATATACCATAAAATTCTGATAAGCCCCTCCAATCATACCCCAACCCCCCTCTCCCCCCNCCCCCCAACCCTCTTTCAAATATATGCCCCACCAGTCTTGACAGGCCAAAAACCTCTCCAATAATAAGCCCCTTGTATATATGCTCCTAAATTGCTTATATTTTGAAATTGCCTCTCGACAGTGCACCTAAAATTCAAGTTACCCGATTTGTTAGAAATATAAACTAACATAGTGTAAACCCTTAAATTGGGCAATAAGTTATGATCAGATGATGTTGTATGTTATGTTGTTGTGTTAGAAGTTGGGGTGTTCAAAATTTCCATTTAGAAATATAAAAATTCCAGCACAAATCTTCTCATAACGCAAAAAGCCCTCCGATTATACACGTAAGCCCCTCTACCCCTCCTAATATGAGGCTTTTCCAAATAAATGCCCCCCTTCCCAAAGGCCCTTTGAAACAAAATATAGCCCCCAGACCTATATTCAGAATTTTATGGTATTTAGGCAACATTACATGGAATCTTATATATTCCTGTCTTACCTATGAGTTCATTGACTTTTTTTAATATAGACTGAATGTCCTCCTCTACTTTCTTGATTGATCGACTGTATACTCCAGCACCCTAACACAGTTAATTACAACTTTATTGAGATAAATAAAATGGGTAAATATAGGGAATTAATAACTTAAAAAACCTGATTAACCCTCCTGAACTGGGGATTTTCTTATTATCCTGTGAGCTTGATAAAGAGCCATAATTTCAAGTTAGGTTTTTGGAACGTTTCTACAACCTTCTGTAGTCTTTTTCAGGTTGCACTTCAGTTATGAATATTCTTGTGAGTTTTCATTTCCACAACCTGAGAAACCTGAAGAAGACGACTGAAGGTTGTTGAAACGTCGCAAAAACTAAATTGAAATTGCAAGAGTTTTCAAAACAAGCTAGTGGCCCTCCTGTTACACTTATAATAATTGATAAATGAAATAAAAAAATGATAAATATCGATTAGGGCTCATTCACAGAAAGCTAAATTTATGTTTGCTTTGCAAAATTATCTGTCATCACGAGCATTTTCCTAGTTTTGCTAAACAAAACTGTCATATTTCTTGATCCTTAAGAATCATGTGTAGTGTCAACAGGAATGCAGATCGGAGTATGCCCGATCAAATGCCACAGCTCTATGGCCAAATCATGCATTTTCCTGGAAGTCATAAATATGGCTACTGACGATCGCAAATGGATCCATCTCAACTCTGCAATAATCAAAACATCAAATCTGAAAGAAATGATGCACACAAAGTATCCAAGATCACAATAATAATTCAAACAGCAACTCAAGCAATGGAAAAGACAAGGGGAAAGGCAAGATAACAATGTTTTGAATGCAACAATGTTTTGAATGCAACATAGTAGTGAAACAAATTGAAGTAAACACTAAACACTTGCTATGAAAAACATCAAGTTGTATGATAGTGTTACAATTTGATTTGTTAATTGTGTACTTCATGACCAGCCGATGTGTTGACCAACACTTGACCGTCACTCCACCAACACTCCATTATCAAATACTTTCTGATAAATCTTCAATCTTTCACCGACTATCGGCCAACACTTGAAAGCCATCACCTCACCAAAACTCCACTACAATCGCATACCTACATGTAATTTTGTACATGTACATGTATTCTTATCGAACATTGAATGGCGTCAGCATATGATGATCCAAACTCAAGTGGAACCATGAGCGCAGCGAGTGGTTTCAATGCAAAGTTTGGATCATATTTGAGTAACCATAAGAGTACAGACCAAAGGAAATGGACCCCAATTTGTTTTTTACCACACAAAAAAATTCACTAACATGCATCAGGTGATCTGCAGTGTTCTTACCAGGAATTTCTTTCTGGGGGTCAAAGCGCCCATCAATCCGAAATATAGGGGCTATTTAGAAAACTGGATGGGCCATTTTCCAAAATCTTAACACAAAGGATAATAATGTTTTTAGCCAGTAACTCTGTTGCAGATCTACAACAATGTTTGAAAGTTTTATTGGTAATGACAACGCAATAAATTTTCGCTGGGCAAGCATACTTGAGACTTCAATAAACAAGGTCAGTTAACACAGACTAGTCCCAGACGTCTTGTCGAGTGAAATACAACATGCCGGCTATGCTCGATTCGGCGTTTCATGTGGACTTTCACCTTGTTTATTGACAATATAATGCGACTTTTATTATTCAAAAGTACTATAAATCTTTTAAAACTATCAGGAAGTATTCTTTGGATAATTCATGCGGCCTTGGGGGCGCATAGAGTTGACATTTGTGCGCCATTTCTGATTTTTATGCTTGAGTCCCGCAATGGCACAGCCTGGTAAGAACACTGGATCTGGGGGAATACGCACAAAGGCTTGTTGTAGTTGATCAGGCGGTCCTAGTTTCAGTTGTTTATCGGCAAACAAATAGCTATAATTTCACGATAACTTTATAAAAGAATTAAAACCACAATGCACCATTTGACCTATAGGTATTCATTATAAGAATATAGGTAGAATTTCAAACGTATTGCTAGTCCATAACACAGCTAGGAAAGCAAAGATTAGACAGCATTCAAAGCCAGGTTTCCCCCGTCTGGACTGCCTGATCAGATTTTTTCTGTGAGCTGGTTGGCTGGTTTTTGATGGGCTGTCAAAACGAAATCCCCTGGCATTTTTTTGACATTTTCTTAGTGATTAAAACAACTAACAGAAAGAGCGCGCACTTGTTGATGTCAGCTTATTGGTCTGTCCTCCTATCCATGATGAAAAATTTCCAATCAGCACGCGAGAAATTAACAATTTGCGGTATAAAGTAAAATGGAGATTTAGTTAAATTTCTATCTATTGCCGCTTTTCACATGACGTCATCAAAACATCAAAATCTAAACTATAGATCGTATAAAGGCATTTCTCAAGTATGTTTTACAAATCACGGTTATGAGTCACAAGAAAAAATTTCTAGTAATTTTGATGTTTGGTTCTCAAGTTATGAAGGTTGTGTCACGCAATGCCGTCACGTCTATCTAAATAGCAATCAAAATAGTAAAATAATTTACCGTAAATCCTCTATTTAGCTCCCCTCTCAAATAAGCCCCCCCCTCTCTAATAAGCCCCCTTTTTTAAAGGAAAAATTTGTTAAGCCCACCCTCTCTTATTAGCCCCCCCCCCTTTCACAACTAAAGAATCACGTGTACTGATTAAAGGTGATTTATCAAAGTCTTGGTTGTTCAGAACATTTCTTTTTAGCTTGCTTTGTTAATGTTATCGTGTTTTAGTTTAGCTATTCACAATAATCGTAAATTATACTTGAGAGACTAACACAGGTGAATCAAATAATAAAAATGCCATGTACATCACTACAGATTATGTGAGACGGTCAATAGTAATGCTTCCGTTTAATCCTGAGTTATAATCATATTACATACTGCGTTTCGACTAAATCAATAAGCCCCCCCCCCCTCTCAATTAAGCCCCCCCTCTCCAATAAGCACTCTTTCAAACGTACCTGAAATAAATAAGCCCCCCGGGGGCTAAATAGAGGATTTACGGTACTCTAGTTAAAAGATTTTCCCTTAGACATGTCTTAAAGATCTATTTGAGGTATATTTAAGTAAAATATAGTCAAAAATATTAAAAATTCCATCATCTTAATGCACCTGTCAATTGAAACCCCCACCCCCCCCCCCCTTCCCGGGGAGGTATGGGGCATAGTAGGGGAATTATTGGGGATTTGATCTATTGATTTGCCCGATGGGTTGGAAGATTATACGTGTTTTAGTACTTTGCCTGGCTTTTAGGGGTGGAGATTTGAACATTTTGGGCACATCTTTTACCGTGGGGGTGGGGGATTTGTCAATTTTGAAAGGTGGAGGACTGGGGTGGAGGAATCTTGGCAGAGCAACCATAGGGTCACAATACAAGTTAGTGAACACATTTTTCGGTATGTTTTATATGAATATCTGAATTGAGACCTCATCTGTCCTTTTGATATCAGTAAAGAATGACTTTAAGAGATTGACCTTGTATTTTTTGCTTTGATGACAGTCTTCCAATGTCGATATTTTTGCCTCAAACTTTCATGTTATAAAATAGAGCTTATGCTTTGGACTATTTTTAATATAAAAGCTTGCCTACATTGATTTTTTAAAATGTGTAGCTTCTGTTCAGTTTCATTTCATAAAAAGCAAATTCAAAAAATGATTAAAGAAAAATTATTAAAAAGAAGATACAGATAAATAAAATAAATAAACTTCAAGGCAGTGGGCGATTGACAGAGTTGAGCGTATGAGACTTATATGAGTATAATATGGATAGGTATCTTAGATAGGTAGCAAAGGTACAGTAAATGATGAATTTATAACAATTTATATTGAATTGAGAAAAAAAGCATTTTGAGTAACGTTACGAAACATGCTGAGCTCATGCGTCGCGACGGTGTTGTAGGGAATACAATATAAAAATAAGAAAGCTCTGGGATAGTCGTTCAATCTACCAAGTATTTATCATCAGGGGTTAAGACACAAGGTAGAGGTCAGTATTCGACCTACACATTTCAAAACTTCTAGCTCCAGAAGATTAACCCTAGACCTACGTGTAACGAAACAACCGGGACACACCACATTGACCTGTGTGTGTATTATGTGTAGAAAGAATGTACATAAGTAGCGTGTGTCAGAAATTAAAACTAACATATAGGTAAATTAGTTTTCCCCCATAGTGGGGGACTTTGTTCATGTTTGATTGGGGGTTTGCAATAAAAAATGTCCCCTGTATATGGTGCATTATCTTAGTTTTGTTTTGCTTTATGTCTAATGCCCCATACTTCCCCGGGGTGGGAGGAGGAGTGGGGGTTTCAATTGACAGGTGCATAAGCCTTTGAAATTTCGTCCGCCATTTAAAAAAAATAACTAAAGCACGAGCTTAAAAGTCATAAAGCAATTCTCCGGGCAAGATTTATATGTCAACCTGTTGCAATTAGCATAAATTCATACCCGATTGGACTTTGAACTCTATCCCACGATGCAACGCGAACTCACATTCGCGATCCATGTATTATTTAGCAAATAGATCAGGCTTAGCTATGTTCTGTTCTCTGATAAAACACGACTGGAGCTGTAGGACATGAGAAAAGTTATAGAAATCACGAGCCGTAGGCGAGTGATTTCTATAACTTTTTGAGTGTTTTACAGCTTCAGGAGTGTTTTATCAGAGAACAGAAAATAGCTAAGCCTGATCTATTTGCTTTATGTAATAGATTTTTACGGAAAAAAATAGCGTAAAATTTCAAAAAAAAAATTTGTTTACAAAAAGAGCGTGCATCTGTCGTCAAACTTACGTAAACAAATTTTGATCTATGCAATGATTGGCTAAAAACACGACCTATGGCTATCTGATTGGTCCAGTTTTGACAGGTAATGACAGATCTGTACAGGCTGGCATACAACTGGTTTATCGTATTTGTTCAATAAGAAAGGAGAATTGCTTGTAAATTTTAGCAAAAAAAGCCAAAGAAAACAAGCATTTAACGGCTAGAAGAAATGAAAATTCAAATACTGAAGAGTTTGAAAAACGTTTTCAAAGTTCAGATCGTTAAATGCACATTTAACCTGTACAAACACTTAAGAAAACCAGCTTATGAACACTTTGAATGCCAAGGAGCCGAAAGACGAGGAGCCGATTTTGATCTTCAAAATTAGAAGAAAGCTAGCAGTGCAGTAGTTGGAAAACTTGTTTTTTTAGTTGACCCTGAACTAAAGTATTGTAGGTAGTATTTAGTAATCGTTTCTCGGGCTATTGGAAAACAAATTACGGTAAAAAAAATTACAGTAAATTATCGTAAAATTGACGATGGTAGTTTGTAAAGTAAGCTTAAGTTTCTTACGATAGATTGGTTCATCCTCGTTAGACTATGAATAAAATTTTAAATTATTTTTTTACTTCTATAACACCATCACAGTCAAGCAAAAAGCTTCTAGTTTAGTGAAATAAGGTCATTGTAATAGTCACAGCACAAACGAAAGAAAGCTTTACTCATCGAAATGTAGTACCAATCAAATGTGTTTCAAAACGACATATTTTAGTTTAGAGGAAAGACATAATTCTTGATAAAAATAAATGAATATTTTAAATTTAAAATGTGAAAATGCTTGAAATTGAAAAGCAGAATTCCTGTGAAGTATTTTCTTTGTTTAATTTTGTATAGAAAACATGGTTTTGACGTCATATCTATGTTTCTATACTCTGATAAAACATAGCTTTTYAGCCAATCAGAGCGCGCTTTCGTGAAAATCTATTATGTAAAATGCGAATTTACGCTTTTGAAATTCATGGTGATGTAGGTGAAAACCAAGTATTAACAGATTTATCGATTAGACAGACCGTTATGAAATATTGGTTCTACAATGAAATTGATACTTACATAAGTCTTCAAAAGTGCTATGTCCCCTTCGTCTAGAACTATTAAACGTAAGAATAATTAATGTTTTAGCTACAAAGAGGGAAAAATTCTGACTTTCATACTTCACTGGCGTAAAAATCTCAAACAAACATCAAACAAAAACTACCTTGAATAGGCTTATCATTTTTATCTTCATCTTCTTTTACTGTTCTTTGGTCTTTTCCTAAGTAGTCTGGCATATTTCTGTGGCTATATGACAAATAAAACCTCTCAATTTCGGGTTTTTTCACCTTGCTTGTCTAAAATTTCTACGACAAAAGTATAGTCTCAATATGGCGGATGACTACTGCGCATCTGCGCGTGTGTACAGCAGAGTCATGCTCTTCCACAGTCCCTCGCTCGGCAGTTGTATCCGAGCGAGGGACTGTAGCCTGTGTAAACCTTGTAACGTGGACACACTGCTTTGTAAGTTATTTCCTTTTCTCCATAGTTTTCTCCATTAGATTACAGCAATGGCGTACAGGAATGGAAGAATAGGAAGGCGAATAAGCTTTTGTACAAAAAGATGCCTATTACTAACTTTAGTAATCGGTTCCGTTTTGTTGCTTTTCGTTGGAAGTCAAATCCGCCTCGATTTTCAAGAAGCGTCCTTGTTTCGCAAGGTTAAACTTGTAAAAAATAGCTGGTTTGCGAGAAACTATGTTGGAAGTTGGATACAAGGTAAACTGCTGTCTCTCAAGTGGGAAAGTTACGTCGATACTTACTGCAAAAAAGGAAAGAGTTTAGCTTTGGGAAAAAGCTACACAGAGGAAGATTACTTGCAGTGGACTCCAAAGATTGGCGAGCAGTTAGGGTTTGAAAACGGGCACTCGATCTTTGACAATGGTTGTGGCTGTGGAGCTTTTCTTTCAGCTTTTAACCAAACTTACGAAAATGTAAAACTCGGTGGTCTTGATCTAAGTACCGGGGCAATAAAGTTTGCTAGAGAGATATTTCCCGATATGAAAGACAACTTCAAAGTTGGGACAGTTGAGGATCTTTCTTTCGTCCAAGATGCTTCTTATGATCATTCGATGACTTTTTTTACCTTTCCATACGTAAGCCCCGAGAAACAATGCAAAGCTGTAAAAGAAATGCTTCGAGTCGTCAAACCTGGAGGATCTTTGTACATCGGCCACAATCTCGAGTCAGATTGCAAAGACAAGACCCATATTGGGATTTTCACGCTACCATTGTGCTTTTGGAACGAGAAATGCTTAAAGGATCAGGATGATGTGAAAGAGATTTATTACGTCAAGGAAAGAGATTTGTTTGGTATTTCAAAGTATTGTCCTGAAAAGAGTGCTGTTTTTGTCTATAAAAAGGAGGCGGTCAAAGTACCTGAACATAGTAATAGCTATACTTGTAATAGTAAATACCCCCCTTCTGGTAGGAAATCTTAGTAGGGCTAGTGGGGACTTTATCAATTTATATATAGAAAAACTGCTTATTATTACTTCTAAAAAATAATTAAGTTTCAGGAAAATTTGCAGCCAAATGGATAGTCAAACTCAATGGGAGAAAGTATGAGAAAATATTAGTGCTTGGCATGGGCACACATCCGTGCAGGCAAAAGAATCTTGTAAGAATGTAAACATTGACAACTGGCCATATATGTATGTATAATGTTTAACACATACAATGTTTCTTACACACTGTATATTATATACAGTATACCCACTGGTTACCTAATTGTACAGTGGACACTTATCCATGGACCATATAATTAAATTCATGTATATGTTTATTAGCTCCAAATTCACATTTAAAATTAAAAAAAGAAAAAAAATTTCCCAATTCACTGGGTTTTCTTTGTTATTCATAGGGCTGGATGTATGATAGAGACCAGATAAACAACAGAGAAATTTAAAGCCAGGGAGGGATTTGATATTCAGCAGGGAAAAGTGGGGTTGATGAATTGAATTGAATTGAATTGCCCATTATAAATTCATCGGGCTATATAGGAGTGACCTGGGCACTCATAGACCAGTAAATTTATAATGAGCAATTCAATTCAATTCATCAACCCCACTTTTCCTGCTGAATATCATTTATACTATTCTTCATTTGCAATAGACGTCATAGCCGCCATGTTGGAAGAATTTGACAAAAGATTTTTCAATAAATTCTTTTGTTATATCTTCCAACATGGTGGACATCCCTTTTGTTACTGTGCTCTCTTGGGATTGATTGCAAACCAAGAATACAAATATACTAAGTTAAGTTACTGAAACACAAAACTATTGCAACTCTGTAGAGTTTTAATTGTCAGCTGCCAACATGAACTGACTCAAATGAAATCTCATAAAAGAGTAACTAGTACCGTGGTATCATTTAAGTGATAAACTGAATCTAATGGAAATGAAATGTGCAGTTTTCAAAATAGATGATACTTGATAGGTTTTGTTCTGTTTCTTCCAAGCGCAATTACTTTTTCTCTCCCTTTGAATCGTCATCGCTTTTCCTTTTCTTGAGCTGTTCAGCAAAAGGCTTTCCTCTAATATGTAAGCACTTAGAAATAGCTTGTTTCACCTCTATTCTTCGTTTGCAATAGACGTCATAGCCCCGGGGGGGGGGGG